TTCCTTCCTTCCTTCCTTCCTTCCTTCCTTCCTTCCTTCCTTCCTTCTATTCTGTCATTATTTTTCTTCCCTCCCTCTCTAGAATTCCTGCCAGCTTCCCTATTTTACTTTGCTTGTGAGAAGTTTTTAAGGAGAAAACCAGTGGGGAAGTCAGCAGGAAGGTCCAAGGCCAGCAGGCAGGTAAGTAAGGAGGGAGGGAGGGAGGGAGCAAAGGATATGCAGGTCTGTGTGTGAAAGATGCTGTACAAGAAGAATATGTGTGAGGATTGAGCAGGGCATATGCGTGCAATGCAGGTTGAGAAGGGTGCAAGAGGGCCACAGAGATGTGAGAGATGTGCCACACAGGAAAGGTGCATGGATGTGTGCAAGAGGTGCCACATGGATCAGGAAAAGTGCTTGGAGTGTGACATGGGGGTTCCTTTCTCCCTGTCTGTCCCTTTCTAACTTCCTCCCCTCTCCTTCACTTCCCTCCCCCACACCTGTTCCCCCTTCCCTTCCTAATAGGGAAGAAAGGATTGGAAAACTAATTGGGAAACTGTCACAGACATTGAAAATGAAGATCATGTGACTGCAGCAGCAACCAAGCAGCATAGTAACAAGTTTGTGAAAAAGAAATGCCTAACAAACTATATGATTTAATTTCATCTGCTATTATATGTGTACAAATTAGCAGACATCCTATGGTCATGATGCTGTTATATATGTATGATTATAACCCAGTAAACAAACAAACAAGCAGATCAACTCATTTCTACTCAAAGAGCAATGTTAAGCTAATTTGCTAATAATTCTGTAAGTCTTTGTGATATACCTTTCTTTGGCATATAAGGTGTGACAGGTAGTGGAGATTTAGTTTGCATTTAATGCTATAAATATGGCTTATAGCTTCCCCCTATTCATTCATTTATTTATGTATTTCCATTATGTTATGCACCATTAGGAATGAAAAATTCTGGAAATTAATACTAGGAGCAGATTCCTCACTATTGCGATGACTTAAAATGATTGAAAACGCTGCTTTTGCTTCTAGGGCTGTGAGTCCCAAATGAGCATGTCAGAGGCATCCTGCAGTGAAAGTATTTCCTCTTGTCAATCTTTGGCACATGGCTCAGCTCCCGAAATCCTCATCGGATTGCTTTATAATGCCACAACTGGAAGACTAGCAGCAGAAGTGATAAAAGGCAGCCACTTCAAAAACTTGGCAGCAAACAGACCACCCAGTGAGTAGAATATATATATTATTTCATCTTAATACTCCTGCACTTGGGGGGATTTCACTGGTAGGGACTTCAGTCCTATCATTTAGCCTTACCCAGTCAAACTGAAGTAGTATAATCATCAGCTAATCTGTTTCATGTTTTCATTAGGGAAATGGCAGTAATCTAAAATTCTAAATATTGGTTGTGATTCAACAAGATCCTTTTAAATTTTTATGATTGACTGGCTAATAAATTGCCTTTATCTTAATGATTAAGTACTAAACTATTAATGTCTCACATAACAAAGCCATTATAGAAAATTATAATGTATTTTAAAAGTTGTGTGCTGATTAAATGTTTATGTAAATGTGTTGCTATCTCTGTGGTTAATAATAGTAAAATAAGTTGTTATAAATCTAGGAGAATTTGATATCAGCAAGTGGTAATATACACCTGATATTCTCTGTGGTTATTAAAAGTAGTATTTATTCTTCATTCCAAGAAAATATGCATGAATGGTCATGTATATTTGTGTGGTGTATATTTTTTAAGGATAAAATTAAATAATGTAGTAAAATGACCAAAGCTAAATAGAAGTACTGTATATTTACAATTGGCATAATTGATTTAACTTTTTGTAAATTTCTAATGACCAGATTCTGCAAAAAGGAATCAGAATTACATCTGACATCTGGATCCAAATCCAGTTCCTACAAAAGTCTATAAAACTACAAAACAGTCTGGCTATGTCTGCAGAAGTCCATTTGAAAAAGTAGAATTAAACAAGACCAATATTTATTTATTGATTTATTTAGGAAACTTATATGACTTCCTATCTTATATAATAGAATCCTAGGTGCTTACAATAATATTAAATAAAATAATATAAATAAAACTAATCAGATCCCATAATATACACAATTAATCTAGTTGTGGTGCTGCATCACATAGACTCTTCATAGTCTTAGTTGTGCCGGGCTTCTGTCTACCCCCAGTCAAAAGCCTGGTTGAAGATCCAGGTCTTCATAGCCTTCTGGAAGACTAATAGGTTGGGAGGCACTCAAAGGGAAGACTGTTCAGTCTCAGAGGGCAGACACAGAAAAGGTACATCACAGTTTTTATCATGCCTGCATATAGGCATGTTTCAGGTGACTTCTCAATAACACAATGAGACCAAAGGGAGCAGTTGAAATGATGCTGTTTCCAAAATATTATAAGGGCAGAAATGTGCCCTTATAATATTGGGACCTATTATCTATTGCTTATCCATTTTGACAGAAAATATTTAAATAATTTATTTTTAATCCATGATACCAATAAAATTATACTAATAAATATGCATGAAATATGAACATGACATCAAGCTTCTATTTATTAAAAGAAACATATGGTTGTACTTTAAGGTTGCTATAATGCTCACACAGGTTGGTATGAAAAGCAGCTAAATCATGTATAAAAGTGAGCCACGGTGGCACAGTGGTTAAAGTGCAGTACTGCAGGCTATTTCTGCTGACTGCCAGCTGCCTGCAATATGGGAGTTCAAATTTCACTAGGTTCAAGGCCTTCCATCCTTCCAAGGTGGATAAAATGAGGACCCAAATTGTTGGGCGCAATATACTGAGTCTGTCAACCACTTAGCGAGGGCTATAAAGCAGTATATAAGTCTCATTGCTATTGCTATTCTTTCAGCTTTCTGATGTTATGCTTATGTTGCCAGAAATAACATTTTTAATTATTTGTTAATCATTTCTGCTTTTTGATCACTCTAGATATTGTTTAAATTATATCATTAGCAATATTATTACATTTAACATTAGATATGGAGAATCCCAATTTTCATCTCAACCAGAATTAATAAAGAAGGAAGTCCAAATATCTCATTTTTCAGCCATGATCAAAACAAGAACAGAATAAAAGCCAATCGATCAGTCTACATATACAGTTACTTAATTGGTGAGATGCCTGTCTGGCTGACTAACTACTTACCAATTACTGGGGTGGTGTGTAAAAAGATCTTAAATTTCACAGTTCTTCATTACACCAAATCAATGTATAAGGTTATTTGCCCTGCTCACTTAAAGTGTTCTCCTCTCCTTGAGCCAGCAAAAAATTTAAACTGGTCTGCAATCTCATTGCCTATGCCATTAGCCTCTGTTCCACATTTGAATCAGCTCAGAGTGTTTGTGTACACACACATGCACTTCACAACTTCATAATCACCTTTGGTCATATATTTCTCAGATTTATTGCTTTTCTGGAAATACGGGAAATATGTGTTTAAATGCAGTCTAAACAGCAATAGACAGGCTTAGTGAGAGAGGAATTGTATCAGAAGTGTCTGAAAATTAATTATCTCTTTGTATGCGTCATCATACAGGTATCCCTGGTCAACTATGATTCAGGCCAATCCAAGTTCTTTGAGTCAGAGAGATGTGTAGAGCATGTACAAAGGGAAAACATAGTGGCATTAAAAAAACAATAGAGAACTCATTGCGACTCAACGCTGTATGGCCCTGGAGTACAATGCCCTCAAAAGTGTACATGTACCCATCTTAAGTGGCCAATAGTTCCTCAGCTAACAGAACTTCTGGAAGTCATCAGACAGGACAATTGGCAAAATGATTAGTAAAGTATATCAAACTGTGACTCTACTAAAATTGTCTGTTGGCTGCTTTAAATACTAGTTTAATGCCAAAACCAGCAAAGGATGACTTTAAGCTATCACATGTGTAGGTTGAAGACAAGATGAAAGCAATTGTCATGGTTTAGAAAAGAGATTGCTGGGGAATATCTACACCATTTGTAGATGAAAGTAGAAAATTACCTTTGTTGCTAAACCAATAAAAATCTATTTTGATATTCTTGATAGTTCTAAGAAAAAAAATGCTTTTTAAAATTTATTTTCCATTTCATGTGGCCTCACACTATGGTTTTGGGAATCTTGTGCACATAGGGCATTTTGCCTGTTTATTTATTATCATTGTTTATTTAGCACTATTCCAATGTTACAATTTGAATTGGAAATTTGAACTTATGGGAAGCTTTCTTTGTGAACTGAAGAAACCATGTAGCTTTGAATTTTTTTTAAAAAAAACTTTGATTTAATAAACTTGCATTTTAACCTATATCATTTTCTCAGATGAAAGATGCAGCAGAGTAGCATTAAATGAGTAAAATAGCCAGCTAAAATAATTTAACCAGATTTCATTATTTTGTTTACAGAACACACAGAATGCCATTCAGCAGCCATTTATTTTATTGTAATTCTATTAACCTTCTCTAAGCTGAGTTTGTTTAATTAATCCTTACTTAGAAAGCTGGAGTTTGCATGAAAAAGAGGAAGGTCTGCTAAAAAACATATTTGATTTCTAGTTTTAGCCTGACTTTTTGCATGAATCTCCATGCACTCGTGTTTTAAACCCAACAGAAATTATTATTAAGATACTACATTATTTGGAACAGTGTAATTTTTTTTGTTAAAGATTACACCGTGAACATAACAAAATTCATTCATTATCCATTCTTTTGCTCAATTCTTTTCTCTAAAATTGATTTGTTAAGGTGCTGTTTTCTTTCACTCTGGTGAATAGTGTTTCCTCTTAAACTTTAACCTTTGATCCTGTGTCACCCAACTATTGACATCTGGTCATTATTTCTTTTACTGCTTTCCACCCCACCCCCGTTGTCAGATGGACTGTTCTGTTGTCTAAAACACTTGATAGGTGGACAGGTTTATATAATACGAGGTGAGTTCCTGTGGAGACTAATTAGATGTTGTCTTTTTCATGCAAAAGAAATCTGCCAGCTTCAAAGCTCTCCACCACTTTCTACCATGTTGGTTTCTGATGATGTACAGTAATTATTTCACTGTTATAATGGAGACAGAGCTGATCTCTGACTATGGATGGTGGTTATTTCAAAGATTTACAAAATAAACATGTGAATAAATATCTGGGCATTCAATTTCATTATTGCTTTTCTTTTCTTTTTTTTTAAACAATCCGAATTTCTTTTTTAAAAAAATTCAAATTCATGCATACGCCAAAATAAAAGACAGAAAATCTTTCTGTTTTTAAATAAAAACAAATATTGATGTGCATACAACAATTCAATAATTATGACTGTATTTTGTCAGGCAAAGTGTTTCCACACAACAGTAACAATGAAAATTTTGAATATCAATGCTATTTCACTGAATTCATATTCATGGTCTAGTAGCTCCAGTGCGCATATGGAGCTTCAGACAGAGCGGGGTTACTTCCTTTTCCTCTATGGGCATGGAATGTGTCCTCTGTGCATCTAGGATTTTTCATTGTACTCTGAATATTTTACCTATTATATTTATTAAATCTATTTTATGCTGCTTCCTGTACAAAAGCACTGCAAAGATTTTGTACTTGAATAGTATGGTATGACATGCTATTCATTAAAATTAGTACAAAAGAATTATGTACTAATTATTTATGCACCACATATCTGCATGCAAAAATCATGCATGGCTTTATTCACATGAGTAAATATAAACTTTTATGTGGATAATTTAATATTTGGCACTTTAATTGTACAAAGTCCAATAAAAAATCTTGACAAGAAACCACATCCATGCAGAGAGATTTTTAAGCAAACATTTCATCATGAACACTGTGATGTTATCACTGCACTCCAATCCCATTCTTTTACCTGTAATTTATTTTTTTATGTCATTATACACCTATTTATATGATCTAAAAACTCTGATATGCTTTACAGTGCTGTGCCAGTTGTAGCTTGCTAAATGTTAATGCTATATGTATCTGCTTGGTGCAAATGAGCAAGGGATAATAGTAGGATTATGAAGTATACCTCTAAATCAATTTATAATGAGAGAATAGGTACAATTAAGTAAAAGTCAGAATGAAATATTTTTCTCTGTCACATTATCAAGTTTAGTCAATTGTTCAAATCCAATATGGTATACACCATAATCTTAAAGATAGACTGATATATTTTGGTAAGGGAAATGTTTTGTCCAATACAACTCATGTATCAAATTGTCTATTTTGTAGATACATTTGTTAAGCTGACCTTGCTGAATTCCATGGGTCAAGAAATGTCCAAATGCAAGACATCCGTCCGAAGAGGGCAGCCAAATCCAGTGTACAAGGAGACCTTTATTTTTCAAGTGGCACTCTTTCAGCTTTCCGATGTTACACTTATATTATCTGTGTATAACAAACGCAGCATGAAGCGAAAGGAAATGATAGGCTGGATTTCTTTAGGTTTGAACAGCTCTGGTGAAGAGGAGCTGAACCACTGGACTGAGATGAAAGAATCAAAAGGACAACAAATATGTAGGTGGCACTCTTTATTAGAATCTTAATTTAGAATTGAAGCTCCACTGAATGTCAACATAGAATGAGATTATTGTTTTCGTACAGCTAAGAGACTCTTACAGAAACTACAAGTTTTTGTATTTCAAATTAACATTCCTCTTTTAAAAAATGCACAAAATGCTGTGAAGGAGTATAAACATTCACATTTTCATTTAATATTACTGTTTTTTTAAAGCACCAGATGCAGAAGATAGCAACCACAAGTCTTTATCATGAAACATTTAGGATTCTCTCACCTATTCTTACTTTGGTTAACATGCAACTTTTATGCAAATCTTTTATTTGTATGAAATTATCTGATTGGTTTTTTTTCTCTTTTAGTAGTGTTGCGCTTCATGTTGTAGATGATCTATCAAGAAGCAGATCTAGAGGGGGAAAGAAGAATGGTTAAATGGCAGAAGAAAGCTCAATGATAGGAGTGAAATATTGTAGGTTTGCGATAGTATTATTTTTTCCCATCCTTAGTGATTTAACATTTCTGACAGTGTATGTCTGAAGAGTTGCTATGCAAGAGAAGCTAGATGCTGACTACTTATGAGATTCTCTGTGGTGTCTGTTTTAAACATGATTCTTTCCCCCACCCCCAAGAGAGCTGAAACTGTTTTAAAAGAGAATTACCATTTATGGTGTAAAGACACATAACTTTCATTCTTGATAAATAGGCTTTTGTATTATTTCAAAAGCTGAAAAACTTGTTTGACCAGACTGTAAATCTCACCTCTTAAAAATTACTGGGATGGTGTCTTATTCATTGTGTGCCTTCTTTGGATCCTAATGAAATAGGACCCAGTGTAAGCACCGAGCACTTTTCAATTTTCTGATTCCTCATTTGCCAGCTTGAAAGCACAGGATCCAAAGATTTGCACAAAGGAGCTTTGGATATGTGATTTTGAAAAGCAGAATTCTTTTTGAAACTGTGCTTCCACATAGATGTTTCTAATGGTACTAATCAAAAGATATTGTGTGACTGTTCCATCTTTCCTTAATAAAATTTCTATGCTCAGAAGAAAAAAAAGAGAAGCTGAGGAAAAAACATGGAGGTTTACAAGTAGAAGATAATATCTAATTTCTCCATAAAATTCCATGAATGCAATAGGGCAAAGCAGTGTGATGTAGTGGGAGGTCTGCTCTTCAAAGGAAAAAGGTAAAACAATTCACTGGGCAGCCAGAAGTTCCTGGACATAAATAAAGTAGTCCCTTTACCCATTATAAGAGGCTTGGAGAAGCTGATAACAACTTGAAGGCAGTTTCTGTCATGGATCTCTCAGTGAGAGTTGCTTTAGTTTAAGTAAAAAGGAAGGATTTCATTCATAGATGATTTTTAATTAAAGTATTTGGTCTTTATAAGAATTATGATTAATGGCAGTTCAGAATTTAAGAAATACCTAAATATTTTTAAAAACAAAGTTTTAGAAATTCAATGATGATAAAATTACAGAATTATAATATCTGGGTAATTTAAGATAATGAATTAATCCCAGCAGTAATTTTACTTTCTTTCACACACACACATGCACATAAGCTTGGAAAAAGACAAGCTTCATGAATTACAACACTTGATATATTCAAGGAAGTATTATGTTTATTCAAGAATTCTTGTAATAAATTATTTCACCTCTTTCTTTTCAACTATTGCAAGATTTCAGTTATATTGAAGGTTAAGACACTACTTGCCATAAATATAGTATTAAGATCATGATAAAAGAAAGTATATCCACAAGGTCTATGGAACAATGTCTATGGAGTCTATGTTGGTTGTATACATAGCCAGAACTCTTGAATTCTATTCAAGTGCTAGCTTTGGCTCTAGGGAAGGTGAAAAGAAGAAGGATCAATGCATTTCCCTGTATACTTAAACTAGACTGATTAAGTACATGTTTAATATTCTTACCCACAATAATATTGCTGCTATGTTTGAGATCAAAGATGTTGCAGACTTACATGAATGGATTCAAGTCCATCCCATGAAGGATGTGTAACGTTCCCAGTTTCAAAAATTTTAACAACCTCCTTAAAATTTCTCAACCGTAGTCTTAAAATTGTTATTCAGTGCCTTTCATGTTTCACCACTTAAATTTGTAACTATAATGTGATGCTGAATTGATTTTAAAAGTTTATCAAATGATTTTTCCTGTGTTGCATGAAATGTATAGCACAAGAAATGTAACTTTGTTAATAAATACTGTTCAGGATCTTTTGCAAACTTAAATATGAATAATGGTACAATTTATTGTATTATTTCCAGTTCTAAGTCTTGTTATGCATTTCAGTTAAAATTTAAGCATTTGGATTTTATTTATGGATTTTAGCTTCAATTCCAAACTTGCTTACCATAAAATAATTTACTTCTGAAATGCATGTTTAGAATTACGACTTGCAACATCACAGTGCCTTGAAGAATGGATAAAGTATTTTTATAGAAGAAAGTTATGATGAAAAACTGTGATTATGATCAGGGAAATTCCTGATTCTGAAAGTTTCTTAGTCTGAATTGTTCCTCTATATTTTTCTTTTTAAAATATAGTCTATCATAGACACAGCTATTGAACTATTTTGTTGGAAAGCAAGATAGATGTGGAGCAATTAAAAATATATATTTGTTTTTCTGCCACTGTCATGTCAATACTTTTGTCTTAAATTTTGAATGGTACACACCTTGCTTGGAAATTACAATGTATACATAAATAATGTTTGATGGCCTTGTAAACATAATAAACTTTTGATTTGGCATAAAACATTGGATGGGTACCAGGAATGGAAAACCTATGTTATTTTCTATAGGATTATGCTATATACAGCTTATTTACCACAAGATACTGGGCAGACCTAGTGAATTCAAAATTCCAAAAATGACATAAAATCAAAGCAGTACACCATTGTACAAATGTGATTTTTTGTTTCTTTTATTACTGGGCTTTATTTGTTATGGATTTCTACAAACAAGTTCCCCTTTCTGTTAGATCAGAGTCTTCTTCCAGTAAGGAGGTTTTATATACAAACTGCTTTTTTTTAGTAGTATCATTTTCAACTGAATGGGTCATGAGATGACTCATTGATAAAGCACACATTCTATGTTTGATGTCCTAAAATATTTTCTTTACATACAGCCTTTTTGATATAGTTAAGCCATGTTGACCCATCTATATCACCTTCCCTGCATGTGCAGGATTAGGGTTAGGGCTTCTTTCAAAACTTTCAGAATTGTGCAGCACAATTATTTAGCTGGGACTTCAGCACTCAGAATTCTGCAGCGTGTTTATTTAGTTGGTCATACATGTACATCTATCAACCTGGAGATGGAGTCGGTCTTGCCTTTAACCACACCCTAATAGACAGTTGTGTGTTTCCTAATAAAACAGTCACAAAACACTTCACTCACTAGATAGAATAGAATTCTTTATTGGCCAAGTGTGATTGGACACACAAGGAATTTGTCTTGGTGCAAATGCTTTCAGTGTACATAAAACAAAAGATACATTTGTCAAGAGTCAAGAATCATAAGATACAACACTTAATAGTCATAGGATACAATAAGCAATCAAATCATACTAGGAAACAGTCAATATAAATGTTTCTTAGTTTGAGATTGAACCTTTGATGCCACTTTCAGAGTCCTGGTCATTGGGGTAAATGCATAAGAGAAGAATATATGGGTTATATCTATGATCTCCAGGATCAAAATCCAGTTGCACCAACTCACAGTCTGGTGAGTTTGATTAAAGCTATCTTATTTAGCTACCATCATAAAGTTGGAATTGATAAAAATATTAATTACATGGCAGGAGAAGCAGCAAATAAAAATGACCAAGGAAATAACTCTTAAAAATAACATATGCGTTCTTTGATAGAATTTGACAACTTCCAAAGGTAGATTTCTTGACCTCTTTATAGAATTTATAAACATATTTGTAATATAGCAGAAGAGCTAATCAAAAGGAAGTAGAATTGTGGCCATATCCACACAATAGTATCATATGGATCAAATTATTTTATAATAGAATAGAATAGAATAGAATAGAATAGAATAGAATAGAATAGAA